TGAAGACAGATATGCTACCTAATTGTAAAGCATAAAAATGCTTGTTTATTAAGATTATATTACATTTTTATTTCGATTGTTTGAATCAGTGATATGTTTGGTTAAAGTTTAAACAAATCACAAAAGAATTTTAATGTCAACAAGCAAATTTACATGTTGGTCCTAGACCAGAGAAATCCCTACATTTCTCCAGATCTGTTTCATACAAAATTGTCCAAAATAACCCAGTTTAGCAACAGAATGCAGCAAATATTGGTAACCCCCATGTCACCAGAAAACAAAATGTGCATATCGTTAACTGCTTATATCTTGTACCCAGCAAAGTCTAATCTCCTAACAAACTCCAAGTGAAACTATGAGCAAAATCAAGGAGACTTCCCTGAAACAGTTTTAGTACTTATCAATACTGTCAGTAGATGCGTTATATTTCCACTTCCTGTAATAGGGTGACAACACTATTCATTCTGCAGTGAAATTACACAGCAATGTTGTCTCCCTGTAGACAGGATAGTCTTAGATGGACATTACAAGTAACATTTAAAAATAAAGCCCAATTCCAGCTAATACTTCTTTTTAGGCAATTACAGAAACATTTGAAAAAAAAAGGTTTAAACCCTAGAAGTAAAATCTGACTATAGTAAGCACCCCTGTCAGTGTAATATGATTCCACCCCAACCCCTGTAACTGCTGCTATAGCTGGACAGCTTGGCCTGCAAAAGAAAGTGAAAAAATAACAGATCTACTGGCAACAGGTAGTGAAACTATTACTGGGGGGGAGGGGGGTGGCTAAAAAAACTAAAACTGATGTGGTAAGGGCTGATTCACACTAGCAGCTGCGCTATAACGCACAGCTTCTGGTGTGCGTTGTACACCATGAGCTGGTGTGCCAATCCCAATGCATTGTGGGATTGGCTTTATAAAGTTTGTTATAACTTTATTGAAGTATATTAATATTTCATTAAGTTCTATGGGTACAGTGTGATGTCATGCGGCTGTACTGGAAAAAAGTGCGGCATACTTTGTTTGTCACGGTGATGGAAACGTAGCCCATTTGTCCTCTTATTTTGCCCATAGTGCCACTTTCACCATAACATGAATAAAAGTTTGTACAGTCAATCTATGAAGTCGTTAATATTGTAAGTAAAGCTGTGTGATTTCTCAGTAGTAGTAGCAAAATAAGTTTTACATTGCCTCCCATGAGCTGCGCTGGGCTCGTCTCTTGTCAGTCCTACCTCTAACAATGATACAAATTAACATGAGCAGGGGCGGGAAGGGAGGAGTCTGGAAATGATTGGCTGCAACCTATTAAGAACAACTAGCCAATAGCGAGCGAGGATCAGGGCACAGCTCTCTTGCCAAGGTACATGCTCTCTCAGTCTATGTTTGCAGTTTTGTGATGCAGATGACTACAATACTGAATAAGTAAGCAAGTCTCCACAAAGCTCTTGTGTACAGTCTACTCAGCCTTTGTATAAGGACAAGCTCTTTAAATAGACTAAACAAAATCTCTGGTGACAACAAGATGGCTTCTCATGCCTCTCCTCAAAATCACGCCCGGTGACAGAAATAAAGAGGACCGTTCTTTATATATAGACACATAAAGAAAACTGCATCCATTGCTTCTCTGAATCTGTCCGTTCTATAGGCTGATAGATGTGTGTATTTGCACTAATAAATATCTTACATTTTTTTCATGTATTTTATTTTTCATCTTAGAAAAGAGACACGGTATTAGTGAGGCTTTATGCCACTTATAACAATATTGTGCTATCGATCAAAGAATAAAAAAAAAAAACAGCCCGATTAAGATTTATCTGTATCCGAAAATAAAATACACACAGTTACAAAAAATGTACAGGTATGGAGACTTTGTGAGCCTGTAGAAGAACACAGTGTTATAGAGGCCTGATCTCCAGCTCCTTCTCCCTTTCCATTGTCATCTACATCCAAACTGAGAAGGTCGAGTTGATTTGGGCAGGGTGAAGTAAACAGCATTCCCTTTTATATGAAAATTCACATAAGTTACCATCGAGCAGAAAGTGCCACGAGCAAAGCCATGACAAGCATAAGGAGGCTCCATGAGTGAGCGTAAGCACTGTTCCCTGTGTCTTCTGATGATTTGGAATTATGATTTATATGTGTTTGCGTGTGCACTACAGCAGCGTCTCCTGAGGCTGTTTTGACGCAGACGCTGTCAGTGCAGCCGTCTCCGCTTCCTGATCCGCTGATGTCATCGCCTGGAAAAATACAATAGTGATTGTTAGTACATAGACATGAAATACAAGTTGGACAAATAGTTATAGATTAAAGTGACATTAAACCCTCAGATTTTTTAACATAAACCAATACTGTAATGTGTGCCTTACTGTAATCCATGGTTGTTTCCCTTCTCTTTGCTGCTCTTCCTTTTAAATCCTTATCTCTTCTCATGCTGGGCAGAACTTCTGTTTTGCAGCAGACTGCCTTGTCTCAGGAATGGATACACGGTGTCTGTGTATCCGTTTGTATAGGCTTGTAACCTGAGCCAGCACTACAGGAAGAGGACCTGAGCTGAAAAGGGAAGTTCTCCCCAAGCATGAGAAGACATGAGGATTTAAAAGGAAGAGCAGCAAAGAGAAGGGAAACAACCATGGATAACAGTAAGGCAAACATTACAGTATTGTTTTATGTTAAAAAATCTGATGGTTTAATGTCACTTTAAGCTTGATCTCCAGGCAAACAGCTAAATACACAGATGAAATACATACAGTCAGATGAAAAAATAAACTATTCCTCATGGAAATTAAACTTTGATTCATTTGGACAGGAAAACATTAGATCTTAATACAAACAGTGCCTACAGATCAAGGGGATGTTCCTGAACATATGACGCATAAAACTGACATGATGTTCCCATGCCCATTCCTTCACGCGATCTGTGCACTTTATCGTGAAATAATTGATTATTTTCGAGAAATATCTTTAAATTTACTGTGTCTGTTTTTCATTTGACTCTTTATTGTATGTCTTGGTGTCCAACCTGTATTGACATTATTCTTTTTTTTTTGTTATTGCAAAAAAATCTAATACAAATTTATTGGAAAAAACTGACACGGTGTATTCATTTTCATTATCTAAATGAATAAAAATGCAGAATTGTAATATGGAAAAAGTAAGTCAAATCCAACAATTACCGCCAATTCAAATCCATACTCCCAGGTAGGTGCACACTCCCTGGGAGTATGCGGGTGTGGTGGAAGCTGTCATATTTGTAGGGATCCACCGATACCAAGTACCGTATTCGGTACAAGTACAGATACTTTTCGAGCTCTAGTCTAGAAGACTAGACTAGAGAAAAATGTAAAAGTTAGGAGGCAGCTGTCATTTGTAAGGAGCACACGGAGCTCCTGGGATTTGTACATCTCTGTTTTAATGTACGATTTTGTTTTTATAAATATAAATAAAGGGATGCACAGATACCAGTTTTGTGAGTACGAGTACTGGTACTTGCCGAGTACTTACAAGTACAAGTACTGATACATTTTTGTTTATTGTCATGTGACAGTTTTTCTAAAACAATACAGACTAATGATTTCAGGACAGTGGTGGAGCGCCAGAGCCAGGTCCCCGCTGCAACCCGGGTAGTTCTCATGAGAATGCCAAGTATCAGCACTGGTATGTGAAAAGTATGGGTGCATCTCTATATTTAAGCCTCAGGTATTTAGGAGCTGGTGTTGCTGATATTGATGTGTGTGGTGTCATCATACCAAGATCAAGAGAGCTCTTTGAGGACCTTTAGAAAGCAAACTGTGACTATGTATGAGTAGAATGATTCCCAAATGATGTGAAACCAATCATTCCACTGTAAGGAAAACATCTACAATTACATAGATTTTTTTAAAGAAAATGCTAATTTGTCTAGGACTGGCCAGCCCAGCAAATACAACCTAACAGGTTACTGTTTGATGCTAAAAAAAAGTCTCCAAAACCCCCAAAATGTCATTGCGGGGTGTTCAGGTAACAGTTGGGGTCAAACTGCTTACATCTACAATCAGAAAGAGATTGCACCAATTTAACCTGAATGAGAGGTTACGAAGGTGTTAAGAAAAAGTATTTTCTGTACAAAAAGAACATTAGAGGAAAAATAGAGTCTTCTATAGAACACACACAGGTGAAGACCAGGCCTTCTGGAACAATGTGCTGAAACCAATAATTGTGAAGCATGGTGGTAGAAATATTATGGTTTGGGGTTGCCTTGCTTACAGTCACTGAGTCAACTGTGCATTCTGCATCATATCAAAGTGTGCTTGATGAGTGTGAGTCCATATGTCCAAAAGTTGTACCAGAAATGAGTCTTTCAACACCGTAATGATCCAAAGCACTCTAGTAGATCCACCAAGGAATGGCTTGCAGTACCCAAGCCGTGATTTGATTCCCACTGGAATTTTGTAGGGGGATTTTGATATCAGCAGTTCATACAAGGAAACAAACAAATGTCTTGCAACTGAAGAAATCTGGTATACAGAAGTGGCCAAATATTAAAGTGGATTCAGAGACTGGAGGGCGGTTATACAAAAGCCTACAAGAAATAACTTCTACTGCAGGGAGCAATTCCAGCCTCTGAGGCTTAACTGTGTAAATTCTGCTACCAGAGTACACATTACATCTATTGATATTTTTGTTAAATAAATGACTGAAGGAAAAGTTTCCTTGTGTTTTTATTCAAGTATACGACCTTAATCTGCAGGCACTGTTTGAGCAAAGATTAAATGTCTGCCTGTTCAAACATGTTCAACATTACCAATTTCCATGGGGTATTCTTAGTTTTTCAGATATACGAGAGCTGTTTTACCAGCCAAAAGATTTGTAACTCTGTCCATCCATTCCTGAGATTTACAGCAGGCAGATGACACCAGTGGCATCCCAAGGGGGGTGCGGCCCGCACAGGGTGACACCAAAATGACTAACAGTTATTTTGGTGTCACCCCCTATGAAAAGTCGGGCACTCGGTCATGGGCCGAGAACCCAACTGTTGCATGAGAGAGGAGGGGACCCGGCAGCATACCTTATCCCGCCGGGTAAACATCTCCTCCTCCCTTTGCCGGTGTCCATTGGCAGGTAAGCGTGCATGACATCATTAAGCACATTCACAATGATCTCGCGCGTGCACGATGACGTCCCAGAGTGGTGACACCACACCTGGAGACGCCCAAGGACACATTGATCAATTTAAAGGGACCACAAGGTATTTGCACAGCACTGCTGTTACTTAGAAATAGTTTAAGCAAAGTCAAGTTCACTTAAACCTGCACCTACTCTAAAAGCCTCAAACCGACATCAGTTTTTTATTGCAAATTCCAGACACCGACAGCAGTTACATATACTGAATGGCTAACCGGAACTGACGTTTAACCTTCAGTGCTCAGACATCTGGAGCTCATATTAAAATAGAAATAGGATTACTTGTGTCCTGGAAGTCCACATCATTTCCATTGTAGGCATTGCGGAGGCGGTTTGTCATGATCTTCAGCTGCATGATCTGCTGACGGATGGTCATATCAGGCTTGGTAATATCCACGTCAATCTCAGGGTTATTGATTTGGTTGGCAAGGCCACTGCCCATCCGTTCTGGCATGTACCTAAAGCAAAACACAACTTATTACTATAAATGTCAGTAATACTGCACAATGATTCTTATTATACAAACAGCATATTGATGTTTTAACCAAAGAGGAGTAAACCATCAAAAACAATTTCTGACACGGGCTTGTATAAGTTTAAAGTAGAACTATGGCCTCCCATTAAACAACTATGTACTACAGCACTTAATTGTAAGTGCATCTGTATTCATAGCCCCTTACAAAATCTCACAAATACCTGTTGATCCTGCCAGTAAATTTTACCTAATGCAGCTTCTTGTGATGGCGTGGCAACACTGCTGCAATGCTCCTGAATTCAGAGCAGAGTTGTCACTCTAATCTAGGTTGTGCATGCCTGCAATACAATGGGATGAAAAATGTTTTATAAGGGGTGTGGATATCTGTAGTGTCACTGCTGATTCACAAACCTGTAGCTTGTCAATCAGCTCCTGACCGCAGCTTTCTGTATTGGCAGCACTGCTTCTGTTGTAAAACCCTCCCGCAGTGAATTGCAGTGTCTGGGATGGGAGCATGTGAGACAACTCAAGGGAGGTAAAATAATTAAATTTTTTATTTTATGAGGCTCGGGCTTCACATAGAAACTGGATTTAGGACCTGTTTATGCTGGTGTACAGGAACCTTTAGATATACTATAACAATAGGTGTGTGTGGGCCACCACTGACTTTCTTGCCCCATAGCTGGAGCATGAAAACATTGTGAGGTGGAACACTGCTAAAATGTTATAAATGTGTCTCCAATGACTCCACGCAAATCAACTTGACTGAGCCCTCACAAATTTCCCTGCACATGTCCAGCTGCTAGGGACAGAATGAATTACCTAGCTCGGGCCATTCCATTCCAGCACTTGTCTTCGTTGCCTTGACCAGCGATAGTCTTTTCATTGCAGAACATACTTGGTAATGATATCCAGTAATCCTGAATGTCACTGAGCGTCGCTTTCACATCTATTACCTACAAAAATAAGTATGATTACATTTATAGAGTAATGGAGCCTAGTGGGATAACACAAAGTCCTTGGCCTACTAAATGCATACTACACAAATGAAAGAATTCTGCATGTTCTAAATGGAAAGTGAGGTGACCCACAGCAACCAAAAAGTTCTTAGCTTACTGTAGTTACATCACTTAAATCTGAACTGCGGGCAAAAAATCTTTCCTTTACATATATTTCTCAATAGCCACAAAATATATAAATGCATTGTGTGTGCACCAGGCAAGATAAATCCACCCCATGCCAAAATCCATTACCTAGGAGGGTCTATTGACAGCCAAAAAAACTTATAAACATCTCAACAACAAACATCAAACGTCTCTTAAAATGGACCTGAACTAAAAAAGTGAAGATTTACTAATTTATAGGGAACATCTAGGAATAATGTGCCTAAGCATTACCCTGAACAGTTCACTATATGTGAAGGTATGTGTGCCTAGGAACTACTGTGCCTACAGTCTCATAGCTGTGTATCTGAAATGTGAGATATAAGACACTGCTGCCTCAGATCCCAGTGGGTTTAGAGTGAGATTTAGTGATGTACTGCTCACTTCTGAGGGATTTCCTGGAGAAGAAGCCGTACCCGAGGACATGAGATGCAAGGATTTTCCTGCTTCTGAATCATGCATTTTGTGGAGCTGTGCTATCTGCACCTCTTCTGCTGCTTCCTGATCAATAGCCCTACCAGTCATCAGATCCCCAGTCATGGGGGGGGGGGGGGGGAGGAAGAGGCTCAGACATAAAGTAAAACCCTTCTCCTTTTCAGGATGGCCGCCCCCACACAGAGACACAGTGTGAATACGCATTGTAAGTGATAGATGGGGAAATAATCAGCTGCAGGAGCCTATAGACAATACTGGTTTTTGGTCCTTTGTCTTCCTTCTGCCTTTTCTGTATACAGTTCAGGTCCTCTTGGTCATGGACCTACTAGGACAAAGTCTACAAAAAACTTCCAATAAAGCTGTATTGGAGATTTTAGGAATGAGATCTTACATTGCCCATACATTAAAAAAGATGGGGGGTATCCTCTTCAAAGTTATATCATTTGAATGAGGTTATAATATAATTGAAGAAAATGGTTTCCATTTGAATTCACAGTGCTAATGATACACTTGATTCGGGTATTTTCTCCAGCTCCTTAAGTAGAGAATTATAAAACATTCTTCTTCCCACTTGAGACTGCTGGATAACAGTCATTTATAGCTCTGGGCTCACCTAAGCAGCCCTACTGTCTGACATGTCCCTAAAGGTAAGCTGTACTAAGATACATATGTAGGCTGCCGCTAGGGAGTTCTGCTGAAAATACTGGCTCCCTGGCTGTCAAGCAATCCAATTTCTATTAAATCTGCAACTCCCATGCCACATACTAATGTTCCAGTCTGCAGTGAAGCTGGGGAATGAGTGTTTGGCCATTGCTGATCTCTTTTGAAAATGGAAGTTGCTTGACTTTCGTGCTCATTCTCCAGCTTCATTGCAAACTGGAACAATCATGCGGTTGGGGAGTTGCATATTTTATAGAAGCCCAGTTTGATTCCATTCCATAATTAGATTAATGAGATTCAGATTCCTCATTTATAGACGACATATATATCTCTAGACATATAACACTATAGTATAGATTAGGGATGCACCGATATATCGGCTGACGAAACATATCGGCCAAATGCCGAAAGTTAAATTTTTTGGCTGAAATAGCAGAGCATCCGTGATTTCTCTCCAGAAACTGTTACAGGAGGCCGAGCAGTGTGGGAGGAGAGCGCTGTGAGCGTCCAGCGATCAGAAGAGTGGTGTGGGTGGAGACAGCTGTCAGCTGTCACAGGAGGCTGAGCTATGCTGCCGCACCGCTCCGCCCAGCCTCCTGTGACAGCGTGTCAGGATGGAGAGCGGGTACAAGCAGTCAGTGATCACTGAGTGTTTGTACATAATTGAGGACATAGTATGTTTACTGTGTCCTCAATTATAAATGAATGGGAAGTGATCTACATCACCCCCTGTTCATTCAAGATTGTAGTTATAGTAAACATACCATGTTATCAATGAACAGGAACACTCAGTATAGAGGCTTCCTGTTCATTGATAACAGGGGATACAGAAAAAGAGATTGAGGGATATGTGTCCTCAATCTCTTTTTCTATTTTAAAAGGGAAATATAAGGGGTCTGTTTAGACCCCTAATATTTCCCCAGAGCCCCTAAAAGTAAAGTAAAAAAACATTTTAAAAAAAAATGAATAAACAAAAATTAAATATAAAAAGTTCATAAAAATTAAATAAAAATAAAATATTTTTAAAAATTTGAAAAACATTGAAAAAACATATTCAGTTTCGGCTTGACATTATTTTTAAATTTGGTTTCATTTCGGTTTTGAAATGTTCATTCATATCTAGTATAGATATTTACAGTGCTGTCAAGTAAGAGACATTTATGCCACAAGTACAACAGCAGCTATAAGTTTACTTTTCTAAGACTGGCAGAAGGTCTTGATAGGGAATGCCTTGTTACAAGAATGACCCCGTGTCACTTTATTGAGAATATATCAGGCACTCCTGCATTCATCACTCACCAGGTTCTCCATGCTGGGTACGATAGATTTATCTTCTTGAACAGCCTTTCCTTTTCTTCTTCTTTCATCTGCTTTGGGAGTCTTGCCACCCTTTTTGGGGTTCCCACAACTTTTGAAGACCTGCAGGGATGAAAGGGACTCTTGTTAAGTAGCAGAGTTTGTAGCAAATGTATTATTCACCCAAATCAGTAAAGCAGTGTTAACATGGCTGACGCATAATATAAAATATATCCTCTATCTGTCTTGAGAGCACATTATTCAGGATATGTGGAAGATTCCATGCAAACTGTCTGTTCTCCTAATTAATAAATGCACAACAAGGGGTGAATGGAATGAAAATAAGACCATTAGTCTATGTATTTATTATTTACTGTACAATTGTTTCCACTCTTCAGGCCTCATCTGTATGACTAGCTTTAAAGGGACAGTCCATCCAGAACGGATATTTTAGCACTGGATAGATACTGGTGTGCTAAACGGAGTGAGACTTCATGAATTGGGGCAGCAGGTTGGTTGTAGGTCCAAGCTCTGGTGGTGTAAGGCTATACAAATGGAAACATTAGGAGGCAATATCTAGCTCCAAGGATGAGTGCTCAGTATTATAGCAACAAATATATTCAAGTAAACCTAAGTCAACTATATATTCTTGTCTGCAGGAGAGTTGTAAAACCTCTCGCTCTCGCTCTCTGTCTTTCTCTCTCTATATCTATATATTAAAGGTGGCAGAAGCTCAGCAAATGTCTGGCAGCCCCCCAGAGGTAAAGCTGACAATGCAGACATCTTTTGCTTCACAGCTAGCCACGTATAATGATGAATACTGCATCTGAATCCATTCCAAAGGTATTTAACCACATCCTAGAATACTGTAGAAGTTGTGCAGTTGGAAGTGGATTCACTGAATAATATCATGTTTTTAAATTATAGATAAACCAGTGTTGATGATCCCTGGTTTACTACAAGCATTTTTATCAGGGTTATCATGCATGGGAGAGGGGTTATACCCCCACAAAGTCAGGAGTGTCACATATTGGCTGCAGTACATGGCAGAATGGCTATTAGCCATTGTGGCCAAGGCACTCAACATCCCAATGTTCAACCATCCATACCTGCTTCTCACATAGCAGTTGTATTGACAGGGGTCTTGTTTTTTGGGTCATTCATTGTATACCCCTCAGACTGCTGGGTAAAGCAAAAGGTTCACTTAACTGCCACCCACAGCTGCTTATACTAAGCTTCTCTTTGTTACTCGACTGATCTGTTCAGCCAAAGAAGTGAAGAGAAAAAAGATGCAAAGGAAGTGCAGAAATGGAGTTGCTATTGCATATCACAAGATGATTCATATTTGTCAAAGGAAAAGGGTAGCCCCATTCGCGTTCCAAATGTTTCCATTATCCAGGCCATTGAGTTTACATATAGTGTATCTCCAATGGTTGTTTACATCATGCTGTCTGATGCAAACTCAGGTACATTGTCTATAAATACCTTGTTGGTTATCAAATCCTTGTTCTCTTGCATGTAGATTATAGCGTCGGAAATCTTTATGTGGATGGTTCCCACAATGTACTCCACTCCCACAGCTCCATTAAACTTGCCCGCAACTAACATTAAAGACTCTGAAAATCACAAGAACAGTCATTGTTATGGACTATATGTATATAAAAGCATAGCATCACCCCATTTTCTGATCCAAGTAATTCCTCTCAAGACTTTCATCGTGACATATGAACTGAGGCTAATGTTAATGTCATTAATTATAAACTCAGTTGTCCAAAGCTCTGGTTTTTGGCTAGAGTTGTGTTTTAATCACTTCAGCTCTCACACTTCTCCCATGGACCAATATATATTTCTACTATGGGCCTGTTTATTTGGCAATCATTTTGTCATACAAAACAATACAGATACTGTTTTATAAGAACAAACAAGGCTTTCTTTTAGAAATGTTGGAAAAATTATTTTACTTTTTATGCAATCCATAGACAAAAAAAGGAACAAAAACAGACAAAAAATTAAAAAAAAATCTACTTTGATAAATTCTATTCTATAATTTGCCCTGTTACAATCAAATTGGGATTGTGGACCAACGCATTACAAAGTTACTTACAAATTAAATTAAGGCTTTTTTCCATTTTGCACTTTTTTAAATAAAATAAAAATAATAAATAAATAATCAGGAAAATAATACTAAGGGGAGAAGGGGTAGAAGGAATTCATTAGGGACAATTAACGCAAACTAAGGGTTGATAAGGGCTAAATAGGAACAATTTTTTCAAAAAATCTTTGTACCTTTCAGGCTGCTATCCTATGTCGAAAGGAGGTCTGCCCCCCCAAATCCAATGCAAATGGATTTCGAAGCCGTTTGTAAACATACGGATACCTCAGCCTTGGCTTTTAACACTTACTAGAGCCACAGGTGACATCACCCTGCCTTCCTGCAGAGCTGGGAGCTCGAATTCCTGTGAGGATACACTCCAGCCTAATGCAAGTGTGCGTTTCTTCAGGATTAGTACCCAACTATCCCAGGAGAGATAGTCACCCGTGTCTTCCAGAAGCAATGGAGGACTGGGCTGAGGTAAGTTATTTTTGTTTTCTGGGTGATCTGTTAGTTTACAAATGGCTTTTTAAAGCCATTTGTGTTGGGGAAGGGGGGGGCATGACTACCTGATAGACATAGATGGTCCGCTTTGACCGACATCATATGCAGAATAAAGCTTTTTCCTTTAATTTCCATTAATTTGCAGATGAACCAAAACAGAGAAAATACAAATGTAATAATGTTACTTTGCATGTCTCTATCCCACCTCTGATCGGTGCTTATAAACACTGTGTCAGACGCCCCATTTTTTTATAGCAGCAGCTGTAATAGCTGCTGTCGAAACACACTGCGGCAAATTCTGACAGCTGGGAATTGCCAGCAAGTGCACAGAACAGCAAACAGAAGTCAGAGAAAAGTCAGGATTCCTCTTCTCTCTCCGGGTCTGTGAGTCAGAAAGCGTTGAAGTGAAATAGTAAGGATGAAAGAGTTTAGCCCTATGTGTGAATGGTGAATCTTGTGCTCTCTACTCACCAATCAGATTTCTCCATTCAGAATCCAAATCTGCTTGATTAGCCAGACATCCCTGCATGACGTTCCAACAGTAGTTATCGCACAGCTTTGTAGTAGCATGACCCCGGCACAACGGACAATACATCAGTTTCATAACTTCTCGTGTGCATTCTTTGCTCATAGGAACCTGTAGGGAAGATACTTTTTATTCTTTTGCTTTGGAATATTGGAATTTTGTTGGAATATTATTAACATTATTATTTTTGATTTAAACACCATCACCATCCTATTAGTGCAGTACAAAGTAGCTGTTACAAATAGGAATGCACCGATACTGGTATTGAATAGGAATACCCAGCCAATCGGCATTGAAGCCGGCCAAACAGATCTGACAATATGGTGACACGACCCCACTCTGCAGGCACCTCATTCCCCTCACATAGACCGTTAGCAGGAGTCATTACTGTACCAGTCTCTCGGCCAGCTGGGCAGACACCGCTCTCCAAGCTCTCCTGGTTCTGCCCACGTCTCCTGTGTTTACAGCGCCCACGTGATTGGCCCTCAGGGTGCATGCACAGTAACAGGCTGAGGGCCGATCACGTGGGCGCTGTGCAGACAGGAGACGTGGGCAGATCCGCTTAGAGAGCGGTGTCTGCCCAGCTGGCTGAGGGACTGGTATGGTAATGACTGCTGCTAAGGATCTATGTGAGGGGAATGATCTGTCTGCAGGGTGGGGGTCATGTTGCCATATTATCAGATTAGTTTGCCTGGCTCGCCTTGCCTTGCCTGGCCTGCCCGGCTTCCCATCCAATCAGCATTGAGCCGGCCAAACATCATGGAGACAGCTTCACGGCTACATGTTCCCTTGCAGCACTGCTGGTCAGAGGAAATCTCCCTCTGACCGGAAGTTCCAGTATCGGGAAAGGTATCGGAGGGCGAGTACAAGTACTAGTATCGGTACATCCCTAGTTACAAACAAGTAGAAATAATATGGATACATACTGTAGTTACACATTTGAATAAGTATATACCCCTGCACAGACTCTATTTAAAACATAGAACAGGGGTAACAGCCCTGCATTTATAACATAGCAAGAGCGGCGGCTGCAACTAATCGAAAAGCAACTAATCGATTATGAGAATCGTTGCTAATGATTCTCATCATCGATTATAATCAATTTAATCGATTAGTTGTTGCATCTATAAAAAGCTGGCAGGGGTTATAGCCTTCCTCTTTTCCACTAAAATAAAAACATTTTGATTTTTCTCAATGCTGCTTTTGGAGATTGTTCCTCACTTCCTGTCTGGTGCAACAGTTGCCACGAGGAATGCAAATGGGAGGAGAATTGTTCATCAGCGCTCCAGATAGCAGTAAAAAAACCTGGCAGGAGTTCTAATCCTCCCCATCTATCCAAAAGAAAAAAAAGAGGGCTGGACATACATTTTAAGGATGGCATTTTGGCTTGGACAGTAGCAGTAGAGAGAGCCTGAGAAGAAAACAAGTCTCCATTCACACTTGTGAGTCTGCATTTCCGTATTCCATACATTTTCTGGGCCTTAAGTGTATTTGTTTTTGCAAATGAAGGTTGCTAAGGGGTGGGGGCTTGTTGTTATGCACTAAACAAAAATATATGTACCATTCATTGAAGTCTATGGGGCAAAAAACACACAGTGTAGCATCAAAAGAAGAGCCTGCACCTCTTCAAAAATCACACTGCAGCATGTTGCAGAGGAGTGGAAGGGCACCGTAGACAATAATGGGATTCTATTGTTGTGCATTGCAGTGCAATGGCATACACACATCATCCTAGTATGAGCAGGTGTGACTAGAGTGTAGAATGTATTGTGAAGAGGGTGGGCATGAGGACATGCCTAGATATCAGTGAGGCCATGTGTAGGGGGGGCAGTTTGGAAAGAACTTTCTAGGCTGAAGTTATCATTTTGAAATGTATTTTCTGTCCAGTTGGCAGCCAGCGGAGGGACTGACAAAGATTGGAGGTGGGGAAGATCAGAGCATTATATTCCCCTATTTAGCTTCCATCACTAACACACATTTACCAATTAAAAGAAATGCAATTTTTAAGCCAGAAGGTGGCTGCAGAAAGCTGTTTTTTTAATGGACAAAAAGCTTATTACTATCGACTTGGCTTAACTTAATACAAGCCAGAAGTGCCATATTAGATTAGAATGACTTGCAGTGCCGAGGAGGCTGCATTTTGTCAAAAAGCCTTGTTAATCCTCAGAGTGGTTACTGTTACCTGTCACACTGTCAGAACATCATAACACACAACGCTCAAATGACATATAATTTGGTGATGAACTGACAAATATCCTGGAACTGATCTATGGCCAGGGCTGGTGATGTCATTACAATGGTGTCATCGCCGGGAATATGAACAATATGCCAGGCTTTAATATTCTTATTATATTCTATTTATAGCCTATCACAATTCTACAACAGCAATGCAATAACACTACTATGGGCCCTAACCATTACCCAAACCATGGTCAACACTCTGTGTAATACCCGTGGTCTGATCACTCACAAAATAATTAGTACAACTAATTGATGAATTAATAATACAACACATATTCCCACCCAGATAATAGAAAATATAAAGACGTTATCTCAAGGTCACCTGGACTATATTACAAGACAATTACAGCAACTTTAGTTTTGTGAAGGACACAGTTGGAAAACTCATCTTAAAGTGAACATGTGCTTTGCCCAAGCAATGCAAAGCAACAGGTCCGCTACAAGAGCACTTTGGCTTCAGGAAACAGGAAAGATAAAGGAAAGAATGATATGTTGATAATGATAATCTAAAGTGTCTGTTAGATCAAAACTGACTTCACAGCTTTTTGTAGATTTGTAAGTTCAACCACCTCCCTATCTTATTATATATCTTGGGGATTCCACCAGTAAAACCTCCCTGCCAAAGTATTTGTCTCAGCCCCTCATGGTACAACTTTTAATTCTGCCCTTGGATGAGGCCTGCTACTCTATAATAATAATAATAATGGAAAATAAAGCAACAACAATAAGACCCTATTGTAAAGAATGTAGCAAGTAGACCAAAGGAGCATTCTGATCTTTCCCGAGTCGTTAAGAGGTATAGGAAGACAGTGAGCCATTCAACTTCTCTAGGTTTGGCCAAACCAACCCTTTGATGCCCCCCCGGCTGCACCTGCACAGTAGATCCCCATGGATTTCTATGATGTCTCCTGTATGGTGACACGGTTACATAGACATCTATGGAGAGCTACTGAACAGACACTGGCAGGGGAGAAGCCTAATTCTAAATGTAAACCTGTTACAAAAGTGAGCAATTAAACCAAAGATATGTCACTCAAGTCTCACTGAACTATTGGCCGGTGAGAAGCAACATAGTCATTTACATCTTTGGATCTGACCATTTCAGAGATACAGTAAGTCTATCTCTGAGAAAAACTCAAAACTCGCCATGCAGTGGGGCTGCCCCCACACTGCAAGGGTTAAATGCTTGTTTAGGACTAGGTTATCGAGATCTCACCTGATCCCCACTCCCCCGGCAGATGATTCTCACCTCTCCCCCTACACCGTGGCTTGTGGACTGTCCTTTGACATCCTTATGTATAATGCAGGGCTGTGGAGCTTGCATTACAGTAAATGGGAGGACAGCAGTGGGCCACCAACCTCCAGGGCGTAGAAAGCTGCAGGCGTTGGTCTTGGAGTTTTCAGGACTGCAGTCTACACAGGGCCCCTAGATATTAATGAGCAGTTAACCTTTCCAGTGCGGGGGCAGACCCACTGCAAGGGTAGTTTTTTTTAATTTTTCCTAGAGCGCAGTCTTAAAGAAGAGCTCTGAGCAGTAAAAATGAACCCATGCACTGAGGCTACCCCCACACTGCAAGGGTTAACTGCTCGATTTGGTCTAGGGTCTAAATAAAAAAAACATATACTCACCTGATCCTCGGTCCTGCCTGATAAACCAGTCCACACAGCCTCTTTTCCCCTAAGCTCTGGCAGTCTAAGGTCCCATGATGTCATCGATCACATCCGTTCACTTGCATTGGAAGTGAGGACACCTGGGGACATTCTACAGCTGGAGCGGAGGGGCAGAGAGGTGAGCAGTCACCACCGTGGGACCGAGGATTGGATGAGTATATCTTATTTATTTTAGACCCTGGACCGAAACAAGCACCTACTTCTAACCCTGCACTGCACGGAGTTCTTCTTTAAGGTTTGTGACAGCTTTAACATATATGCAAGTTGTGCAATTGTATCCCTTTCGCTTGGAAAAGCTAGAAATAATGTAATGTATACTTCCTAACAGTTTAAATTAAAATATCAGGAAATTAGTGCGCCACCCCAGAACTGACACCACCACCTAATTCTGTGACAGGGCTGGCCGGATGTAGGACCCACAAAATGCAGCAGGGGAAGCTGAAGATTCTTCAGGCAGGGGTAACTCATGAATATAGAAGAGAACAGTTGTGTGGGCAGCAGGACAGGTATTTAAAGACTTCTTTTCCAGTCAGCTTTTGTTTTTATTAGCGACAAGGTTTTTGCTGTATGATGTTGGATGTCCAACCACTTTCTTTAGCAGAGTGAATGAACATAAGAGGTGATGGTAGAGATTGTGGTTACATACCTGGGTGACTTTCTTGACAATGTCTGCAGCAGCTGCTAGTCCCTGGACAAATGAACGGGCAGCAATAAATGCCCTGGTAGCTTTTAGCTTCATTTCCCGTGGAATGTCCCCAAATGGCTTAAGCTGGTCATACTGCTTCGCCAAGCAGTCCAAATACTCGTAGGAAAAAGTGACTTGCGGGCTCTGTGACTTGAATACACGCTCCAGCAGGTGGCTCCAGAACTCTGTTAATGCCTCCTCCAAGTTAACCCCAGAGCCACGATAATACTGACGCAGCTCCGAGTACAAGTCTCTGAAAATCTTCCCATCATTTTGGCTGTACAGCTCCCCATAACGATTCGGGAAGGTGTCCAGGAGAGTCTGCTCCGACTTATTCAACAGGTCCTGGAAGTATCCTGAAACCAGACAGAAGGCGCTTACAATATATTAGAACAAGTGCCCTGATTGCTAAAGACATTTTGATATTATCCAGATAAAACATACTGATCTTGAGTCTACTGCAGAAAATAGTCACTGATTGCTTACACTGATTACTCACTAACCTAAAGTATAACCAAAGCCAAAACTTTTCTTTTCATTTATAAGTAGGGAAAAACGAAAAACCCCTGTCAGGTTTCTTTTCATCTCTGCCCCATTGGGAAGATTTACATTCACTTCCTCTTTTGTAGACACAACAATATGTGAGAGAAAATCTCTCCAAAATGAGAGAAATGCCCACGTAGATAGTTGTTACCAAGTGTTGCCATTGGAAGATTTCGGCTCTTTTTTTTTGTTCAGGTGGCAACTCAAAATTGTGGTTTGTCCCTCACTTTCAGTCCCAGTCACAATAGACTCTGGGGCTTATCGAGAAGATGGATCTTCCTAACAGGGCAGCAATAAAAATCTAACAAGGGTTTTAACCACTAACCACGCTCTTCAAAACTAAAATAAAAGTTTTGGCTTTAGATATGCTTTAAGGTTTCACCCTCCATACATATACAATAGGTGGGACATAATGGTTATATTTGCTTAGTATACAGCTCTATCACCTACTATGTGCTTTCCGATGCCTGGGCAGAAAGACAGTACTAAGCAAATCGATCAGCGCACATATGCTTGCTTGACAATGAAGGAAGGCCAAAAGGAGTCAGCATCTGTTGTACCGGCCAACCCCTTCAGCAGAAGGACAGAAATGTTGGCCATAATAACCACTTCAAATGCAAGCAACGTGTACGTGCACCCAGCAATATTGTATACAAGTCCTTTGGATAATCCAGCAGAGGCATTCTCACTAACAAATGTTTCAGGTCCATCAGAGAAGCAACCTTTAAATTGCGTATCACTCCATTCTATTTTACAATTACTTTTCACAAGCTAGGAATGCGTGATCTTTACACTTGACTTTACTTCGCCCTTACCATGTACAATTTATAAAATCAACCACTATTATTGCAGTCTGAATGAATGTTGAATTACCTTGAATATTTCCTCTAAGAGATATCCTGTGCCCTTCATTCGAAATGTCAGGTGGCAAAGCTATTACAGGAAACTACATGTGATGATTCAGAGCCAGGAAGGGGCCCCGGGGAGACCCTGTGTTGGGAAAATAGGGCATCTGTCCAAGAGCGCAAGTGCCAGGGTTCCACTGACCTTATTCATACTTCATGTAACTGGCGCCTCCCTTTGGCAAATTTTGGATTTTTTACAAGGCAGGGGCCCAGTGAGCTGGCTTATAGTGGCAGAAATCCTTCTTTAAAGCCCAACGGCACTCAAAAACTATCTCTCTAACATCCGTCCCTCCCACCTCCCTCTAACCTATCCTGCCTGGTGTTTTGTTTTTTTCCCTCCTGGTGAAGCCAATCATACTTACCTGAATACCCCAATCCAGGTCCCTAACTGATTCTGTTTCCACCAGCAAGGACCCCTAATCCAGCATCGCACAGTAACCCTCGCAGGCTTGACTTCCTTAGGGCTGACATCAGTAGTCTTCTGGATCCTGAGAGGGCTCCTCCAGTGAACAGCCAAGGGGAACTGTCCATGTCATAGAGGCAGTGATATGGACACCCAGAAGGACCCAAGCGGGAAGTAGACAGATAGGGGAAGGACCTGGTGCTGGAGTATCACATGACCACAGCTTAAGGTAAGTGAAAAAGGAGACTTTGCTGGGCAATGTATATTTAAAAAAAAAAAACGTTTGAGAGTTTAATACAAGTTTAGGGATCGTAGACAAAGTGCAGTGCTGCTTTTTTTATACCATGTCTCCAAACATCCACACTACTAGAAAGTACTTCACCACTTCAACTCTGTTACAGAATGACTTGCCTTAACTAATTAAAGGAAATCAATTACTTTTAGGTGAACAATACAATAATAACTCAATATATGTATTCACAAAAAATAGACTGCACTTTCCCGGTAAGTTTTTGTCTGTTCAAAATGTTTAGTTCTTTTCTTTTCTTTTATTGTTTTTACTGTAAATTAGAAAACGATATAATAGATCCTCTTTGCAGGATAATGGGGCTTATCACCGGAGAATTTTGTATTTGAAACTTTATGGATTACCCATTGTGTACCTCCCTATTAAGTTTAACCCTGTTTAAGCATCTACCATCTTTATTATAATGAACTGTTCAATGTTAGCTGCATATCTAATAATCACATAGGAAGGCGGTAACAACTAACCGCAAGAAGACAAAGAAAGAAATGATACATGTATATTAAAATGACACTGTCAAGTTTATTTTTTTTAAACCTTATGTTTACAGTGAATGTTGATTTAGGTGTAATTATAGTGTAATTAAAGAGGAACTATAGCTTTTATAATGTTTTATAGCTATACCTGTGAAAGAGTTCAGCCTAGTGAAATCATCTTATCAAATGTCTGTAAATGTATTTAAAACCTTGTTCCTATGTATAGGGTGTAATTAAATATATACTTGAGGCAGCCAAATTCTCATTATGTCGGCAGACAGGATCTGTTTGATTAAAAATAAAAGACTCTCTACATTCTCTAATACAGTGAAACACCCACAATTCTCCTTATAGCCAGATACCATGTGATCTTTGCCTAGGCTTTAGGTTACATGAGTGAGCGCTCTGGTGCATTTTTAAAATGTATTTATGGCAAGAAAAAGGTACTTTCTTACTTATAATATGCTGAAATGTGCCTATTGGTTTATATTAGGGACGCACCGATACTAGTATTTGGGCGAGTAGTTGTACTCGCCCGAATGCTACAATACCTTCCCTGATACTGGAACTTCCCGTCAGGGGAAGACTTCCTCTGACCAGCAGTGCCATAGGGGAACATCGAGCCAGCTACCCATGCGATTAGGAAGCTGGGCGGCGGGTAATGACCTGCCTCCCAGCTTCCTGATTGGCCGGGAAGCCACTCTATGCTGATTGGCCGGTCTTCCTTCCCGACCACTCAGGAAGCTGGGAACCGGGTCATTACTCGCTGCCTGGCTTCCTGATTGGAAGCCGGCTTGATGCTGGTTGGCCCGGCCAAGCTCAATCAAGCAGGTTAGACAACACAGAGCCAGCTTCTTGGGCAATCAGATTGCCCGGGAAGGTGGCTCCATGGCAGCGGAAGCACCGGTATTGGTACTCTGTATCGACAAGTACCGAAAGCAAAGTATTGGTACTCATACTCGATATTTAAAAACCGGTATCGGTGCATCCCTAGTTTATATGAAGTGTGAATTTTAGTAACAGGTCAGTTTTTTTTTTTTATGGCAATTAAGTTCATCATATTGTCAGTACCCAAATCCTTACTGCCAACTCCTTGTGCTTATGCTTGGTACAGCCATAGATAAAAATATCCCCATCGCCAAAGCCATTGTGGATATCAGATATATTTCTCAGTGGCTTACACATGCACATGCATAGTCTAGGAGTTGGGAGACTAGTTGCAGGGAGATGGGTCACCACCCAATATAAGCACTTCCTGACCATAAAGACCTGGGGCAACAAGGGGGTATATTTGTCTTCATCTCCAGTCTATATATTCACAAGTTCAGGAAAGAAAGAACGTGGGAAAAAGTGCACACTATAACACCAAATGTTCCTTCATTCATGATCTGCATGGTACAACCCTTTGCTGCTACTAGTTCTGTGTGTAAATTGTAAAGGTATCAATGTGCATTCTTTCAGTAAGCCATGAAAATGGCCTCAAAATGAATATCACTCATTAAGCTAGACACACCTGAAATAAGAAGAATAAGTGGCTTATTGTTTCAATGATTCAGTTAGATGAACGTTAGTCAACCATTAACCATGGTAGGTTATGACAGACAAATATCTATGATGGTGATCTCCTGAAAGATAATTTACTGGACATAGCGGCATAACAGAAAGCAAACTTGAGGCATTGCTCAATGCATTTATTGTATGTATTTGACTAAATAAACAATCTCTCCACTGATTACCATGTGTCACGTAGGGTGAAGGTCAGAAACCGATATGTATGTAGGACCTTCACCTGATCCCTGCTATTTTACACTTTCAATAAATTCCTGTTAATAATTTAAAGCACAGATAGAATCCCATGAGCATGTAAATTATTACTGAATATGCAGTATTTATCTTATTATATCAGCTGGTGAACACAGTATCATAAACATAGTGAAGGTAAAAGCTCTTACTATCAAAGTTCCTGTTCTGTGAGATGAGCAGGCCTTGGATTGACAAGCTGGATTCTCGCAGTGAGTTGTCAAACTCCAATTTGCTGATATTGGCAAAGTTTTCCTCCATCTCCGAGGTGCAGCAGGTGTAGCCTTGTGGACAAATCCTCAGATGCTCACCTGCAAGACATGACATGAACATGACAATACGTCTACAAGAGCATGATGAATTGAACCATTAGCAGAAGAGCCCTAGAGCACAGTGCAGTCTCTACATACCACACCCATCTACAAAGATCAACTCTGTCATCTTCCTCATTAAACTCAAAATTCTTTAGTAGATATTTCAATTTGTCAGAAGATTCTACTTTACATGAGCCTAGGGTTGACCGCACATATATTTTCTTTTTGGATCGTACATTGCATCATGTTCTGTCACCACACAACATGCAAAATATTGCCACTAGCCAGCAAGTAGTCTAATATATTGCAGGGCCAAAGTATGGGGACACCCCTCCAAATGATAGAGTTTAGGTGCACAAACTCAGGTACATTCACTTGAATGGCCTGGCCTTTAACCCTTCTAAACACCTATGGAATGAATTGGAAGTACAATTGTAAGCCAGGTCTTCTTGTTCAACATCAGAACTTGACCTCACAAATGCTCAAATGGCTGAAATTCCCACAGACATGGTAAAATCCTTGTGAAAAGCATTTCCAAAAGTGGGGATGCTGTTATGGCTGCAAGAGGTAGGGGCAACTGTAAATAATGCCCATGGTTTGTAATAGGTTATATACACACACACACACACACAATGATCAGCCATAAGATTATGACCACTGAGAGATAAAGTGAATAACATTGGCTATCTCATCCCAATGGCACCAGGAAGTGGGTGGGATATACTAGGCAGCAAGTGAATGTTTTGTCTCTGACGTTGATGTGCTGGAAGCAGAAAAAATGGGCAAGTATAAGTGACTTTGACAAGGGCCAAATTGTGATGGCTGGACAACTGGGTCAGAGCAACTCCCACACTGCAGCTCTTGTGGGATGTGCACGATCTGCAGTGGTCAGTGGTTTTAAGTGTTGACTCGGCCTCCAAATTCTCCAGATTTCAATGCAATTGAGCACCTGCGGGATGTGCTGAAAAAACAAGTCCGATTAATGAAGGCCCCACCTTCAAATTTACAGGACTCAAAGTATTTCCTGCCGTAGACTTGGTGCCAGATACCACAGCATACCTTCAGAGGTCTAGTGGAGTTCATGCCTTGATGGGCCAGGGACTGATCAGTATATATAAAAGGCTTTGTATTCTTTGCATACCTTATTTCTCTTTTCTTTACCAGTCTTCTGGCAGTGGAAATTTTAACTAAGGGCAGGTTACTAGATCTCCCTTTACTTCCTGGAACTCTGGCACATGTGACTAAGACATGTGACCATGCACATCATGTCAGGGGAGGAAAATGCCTTTCCCTGAGATCTCATGAGATTACAGATGAGATTTCCCAGCAATACTCTGCTGATGTAACCTTCCGAGGATGCAAAGCTTGGGCACAATTACATCATTTGTGCCAGATGTAGACCAGGAAGTAGATGAACTCTATTTGTAAGTAAATTAAAAACATGTTTGCTTAACTTATGAATGTAAAGTGATTTTAAATCAGCATGCAGAGCTGCACGCTGATGTGATGTTTAGTGAAAGGGCGTAAAGGTCCGCTTTAATCCTCTTGTTACTAAAATACAGAATTATAGAACATTTGATACAATTTGATATTTGTCTGTTCCCACCATGCTTTTATAAATGGTTTTATTGAACTATGACCTCACACACATTTAAAAGCTTGTATAATTCAAGGCATTCAAGACAATAGGCTATACATACAGACCGTAGCATATCTGAAAACATTAAGTGCCTCTTTCACCTTTTCAGAGGAATCTGTAATAAATGACTCAAGTTCACCTTGTGAAGGGCTGGGAGTAGAAACACCTTAATTGAATGTTAAAACCGCCATCCACGCGTGCCTTTTGTTTAACTGGAAAAACTAGTAGGAAGTTGGCAGCAAAATAATGCATAAACAGTCACAAAACAATAATAATTATAACCTCAGGACATTGTGGTCCTAGAATTGTGATTACATTGTCAGTGTGCCAAGCTGGATTGCACATCCAATCCTGTTGTAATCCTCGTTTACTTTTTAAAAGAACCTGGAAAATCCTGGCGATAAATTGAACTTACAAAGTTGATGGTGAAATTATCTTTTGAAAAGAACCTGGCAGGCAGCCTCTGATGCCAGCTATTTGCACTGGAGGGAGAAGAGGAGCTCAAGACTGCTGGGATTGAACCTGAGCCAGAGAAAAAATGGTGACAGGCTCTCTTAACAGCCTTCAAATGAGTTAATGAAGTACAAGTCTTTCATATATTTGACATAGAACTCATGGGCTTCTCTACTTGATTTCCAGTTTTATTTTTTTCCAGTTTTTCCCAGTCATAATTTTTAAGACTGAACTGGCAATATGGCAGCTCTGGTATTTGTCACTAAAGTTGTGTCTGAGTGTATGTATAGGCTGCTATCATTTCCACATGACACTCAGCTTCAGTCAGTTTAAGGATACAAATCTGGTGCCTTTTACTGTTATGCGTCATTTCTTCTGAAGACCTTTTGTTCAGTTGAGGTTACCAAAACACTGGTCACAAACACATAGGATTATACATGATTGTGAAAAGAGCAAACAATGTATAAAATGCATCAAATCATCGTACTTACAGGTTGATTTCACATTAAAGGAGTCATTAAATTCATCACAGCTATTTGCATTGTTTTATTCATTTAGCTCAATATGGAGATAACCAGGGAGCTTTGTATAGCATCAGCCAGCGAATGTGCCAGATGACGTTTTCCACGGTGTTGAAACTCAGAGCACTCAAATTTACAAGTCTTTTATCTTTTTCAACTTGTTTTTGTTAAAATACATTTTTAAAACACGCATGCCCTCTTCCTCATTACAGCCATGTAAGCTAAGCTGGTATCACCAGGCCTCTTCTTTTTTTTTGCCCTCATTGGGATCCCTTTGCTTAGCCCCTTATGAGAAGTAAAGGGGATCATAAGTGAACAATGGTCTTGAACACATAGGAAACTATATGGAGGTGTGTCTTTGGAGTTCTCCGTGACATCACATGACTAACATATTACATTATTATATTATACTGAATTACCAAAGTATTGATACATTTAACTATTTGGTGATCACCTTCATTTGCTAAGAAATGTGAGAGGTGCTTTTTTGGTTTCCTAATAAGGGGTAGGGAAAGAGGAGAGTCATTGTGGGATATCTGAGATGCCTCTTGATACTTTAAATGTAGAAGACTAAACATCTTTTTTTAACAAGAGTGCATGTGTTTTTAATTATTTTCTTAAATATAATGTTATTGGATTAAAGGACCTTTAGCGTCAGTTCACCAGGGTGTAGGTGGTTACCTACCTGCCTTCAATAGGGTGCAGATAGATAGTATACTGTATAGGTCCCCAGTTCTCTGTCCTCCCTTAGTGTACTGGGGGTGCTGACGACTACAGGATACCACTATTGAGTCCTGTAATTTGGAGGGGTATCCCCCTTTTTGAGTACCCCTTTCCCAACACATTTTAGTACTGAAGAGTGTGCAGGTTGGCATGAAGGGAGGTCACACATTCACTGCTCCTTTGTCATAGAGATACCAGCATGTATGCCATGTGTCCCAGGATGGGAGTATTTTACAATGTTTTAATTGTAACAATTATCAAAATATTAATTCAACCCACCAATGCTGAAATTGTGATTTTGCCCAATGGCAACTACTAAATGTTCAGTACAAAATACAAAGATTCACCAGCTCAAACCAGCAAAGCCAAAACCTTTAAGAAAGTGAGCAAATGTTCACAGAGTGTCACAGCCTCGCTGCTATAAATAGGGTGAGCATACTCAACTGAAGAAAAGATATTGGCAAATTTTGCAGAATTCCACCATACAACTCCCACTATGCTGACTTTTCATTATAATGGGTCACACATGTCTGGAAGCACACATATTAAAAGAAGAAGACCCCTAGGACTGTTACCTGAGTACTTTTTTAATGCCTTGAGAGAAACAATATTTTTTTTCTAATGCTTATTCAAAAACATTTTGAAACAACCACTTGGAGGGGGTAAGTTGTACAGGGCATTGACCAGAAACAGCCCTTTGCCCATGATGCTTTTTTTAGACTGCCACATTTGGACCTATTGCTGAAGACCATAGGGATTATTATCAGCTTAGTGGAATCCTAAAGGCTTATAGGGATACCAGTCCTAATTATTTTAGAATTTTTAAAGCTAGAAAAAAATAAAATAATAAAGAATCTGACAGTTTAATTTTAATCAGATTGCTGGCTTTATTGCTAATCCCAGTCAAATTCTGAACTTTATAGATCGATTCACTCATCTCTAGCAGCTTAGAAACATTTCTTCTTGGTGGTTTGTTGAAGTACTTGTTGATGCCATAAATACCCCTAAAGTGAACTATTCCACTTCCAAAGTATGTGTGGCATTTGGCGCCTTCAAAATCTGTGCCATCAGCTGTTTTAAATGTACCCGCTCTTTCTGAAAAATGTGTTGCTGGTATGCAAATTGTTTTTTTAAGTCAACAGTTAAGTTCATATCTGCATCTCCAGCCACTACCCCTGGCAGCTGGTTTATGCCTGCAGAAATCAGTGACATGTGATGGTCACAGGAATGGAAGAGATGTGTTTGACCTGCAGGATGTAAATGACAGCGTGGCTTCACCTTCTCGATGTTGTGTGAGGAGGAAAATGGTGAAGCCCAATTGGTGTATAACTGGGTCTTTGGAGAAAATTGCACATAAGCATAATTGAGAGATTGTATAAAATAGATACACAATCTCATGAAATCAGGTCTCTCTACTATTAAGTATTATCAGCAAAAATTGGGGTGGTTTTAACATCAACTGTTAACGAAATGTAATTATAACAATGCACAAAACAAAAATTTTAATTGGTAGAAACAACTATGTGCTGCTTTGAAAATCCACATTAAATTGAACAGCAGACCGAACAGGTGAGGTCCACCTTACAAGTGGGAAAGGACTGCATTCTTTGCTCTATTGACTTAAAGACTGCCATCGCCTGTCTTCTGGAACCATGATTCCC